GAACCTTATTATCGGACTTCGCCTTCAGTTTTCTGAAGACAACGTTCTTATCGGTGAAGCTATCGGGCGCCATCAGGGAGGGGGAATGAAATCAAAAGTGGGAAGGATATCACGAGATGTGCTGGGACGCTTGAGCAACGATATATATACAAGAAACGGAGGAAATAGGAGGAAGTGAAACCGGAGAAACGAAGATCTCGGTGTGTTTCTTTCTGATCATTTCTCTGAAAAAGATCCTTTATCGGAGAAACGAATGATGACTGAAATGACGAAAGGGCCCCGGAGATTAGTGGACTCATGGCAGGCTTGACTCCAGAGACCAGAATATTTGTTGCCATTCTTTTTTATGGAACTGTTGACTTCAGATTAGAGAATCACAGCCCCTGTAACCACATAGACTATGGGAATCTCTGTTTAATTTTGTTTGGTATTCGTAAATTTTAAAATTATATATATTCTTAAATTTCTTTTTGATGTTTTTCAGCTTTTTATGAACTTAAATAGAAAGACTTTTCCTAATCATATATCAATATCCAACATAAAATATCTGTAACAAACCCCATTTTTCATAATTTATAAACAAATAATTTTTTAAATCTTCTTTAATACATAAAAATATTTTAAATTAAATTTAATAAAATTATACTTTATTTCTCACAAGAAAATATATCGTTGTGAGAACATTGTAAATTTGATAAATTATATTAATATCTTCAAATTAAATAAATTTTTATTTGATAAACATGACACTATTTTTTTGCGTTTAAAATAGACTATAATCATATTGTTCTGCCTAAAGTAGCTTTACATTAGTTGACTAGCAACAATTCTCATAGGGAAACAACTAGTTCAAAATCGCATTATATTTATGAATATATATAATAAAAAAACGCCACGTCATACTTGCGGCCGGAGTTCAACTGAAAATTATTCTGCCTAAGGATGCATGCCAAGTTTTGATTCCCTGTTTTAATTTATGGATTGCATAGTTGTGACAGATGTTGTAGAAAATTAAAACATGAATTATTTTGGTTGTAGTTGTAGAAAAGAAGTTGAAAAAGCAGTCACAGTGAAACCTCGTAATGATGAATTGATCATGCATCAGTTAGGTTATTTGCTACCTTACAAGAACTGTATACAAATTATTTGAGTGACGTTGACTAGTCTATTGTTTGGCATATTAGTTAATGTAATTTAGGCCCTTGACAGTTATTAATATTATTAAGGAAATGTGGTGGGATCAAATTGCAAGCTAAGGAGATCCGATGAAGAATATATACGGTCAGTATGAAATATAGTAATATTGCAGTAAAATACCACCTCCTCCTCTTCCACCGTTATGACCACTGCTTGCTCTTCCTTCATCACCACCATCATTATGACCACTACCTCTTCCTCCACCGCCACCTACTCCAAGGCCACCCTAATAGCCACTTGCTTGGAGTTCTATATCTTACTACGTCCCTTTCACCACCTCCACATGCACGAGGATTAACACCGCTATCACTAGGTCCATATCCTCCATATATAGCCACCTGGACCTCCGTATCCTCCTCCAGAACCTCCCACGCCACCGTTGTTCACGATATCCGAATCAAAGTTTAGATGCCCCTTGAGATCATGGATTGATCTTGCAGCAGCAACAACATAAAGAAAGCAGCACTAATAAACTTACAAGTCGCCACGGGAAACTGTTGCAATCCCACCACCATGGTTTCAGCCAAGAGGTGATGGGTGCGTATATCGGCAATGGGAGGGTCCTAAGGCGTGCACCGTGCAAACTAATGACAGTACAATAGGACCTGTAGTGAAGAAAAATTTCAATTATACTAACAAGACTTTTTTACATTTATGTACCATTCCGATAATAAACATTAGAAGATTTTCCACAATGCAGCTCAGTATATAAACAAACACATTCACGTACCATTGTAATTAGACACTATTGGGCCTTTTTCTTTGGGGGCCATACCCTAATGAGCTTTTGCTGTCGCCCGTTTGTTTATTTGTTTTTTTTTGGGCCGTCAGTTTGTTTGATCTGATCTTATTTATCATAATGATCATGAAAGGAGTTGGTTCATATTTCCCCTCTCAGTTAAAGGCTCAATATTATAACACCACTTGATTTGGACAACGCTGCCTTCGATTCATGACTTCACAAGCTTTTCTCTTTATAATAACAGACTGTAAATTTTGTGCACTACCATGCTTATTTGCTTATTGAAATCAGGGAATGAACGTTGTTATAGATGGGGTGAAGAACCCGATAAGCTAAGTGGGCATAAAGAAGGCCAAATTGCCAGAGACGAAAGCGTGTGGCTCTGGAAGATAAATATTAATACAAACAAGAGAAAATACCATAATTGAAGTCATTAAAAGGCATGTGAGACTATGAGCCGAGGCTCTCCTTTTCTGCATGTAAAATGCTTAGAAAAAGTCTTATAATTAAGACGGAAGAGAGTATTATAAATCAGACATCTTACTATATATGAATCACGAGCTTCGAATTATGTGCACCCCTTGCATTTTTATGGCTTATGATTTGGTTATTTGGGCACTGTATAACCATGGCACGCACTTAATTGAATTAGAATCCCCCTAATCTCCCTAATAGAATTAGAATCCCCCCAATCTCCCATGGCACGAGGGGGGGGGGGAGGGCCAATGAAGAGGGCATGCTTGAAGTCTTCAGTAGAGGTGTCTTTTAAGAGTTACTCATTTCTGTTAAAGTCCAATTGTCCAATCGTTTTGATGTCATACTTGTAACTAGAGATTTAAACAACTTTTTTTTTTTTAAATTTAAGCTTCTAACTCATGATCAATCTTAGTTCTTGTATTTCTGTGATTCAAGCTCTAACGTTAGGTTGCTTAATAGGTTACATCAATAAAGGCGAATAGTAATTGTGGTGTTATTTTGTTTTTATATATTTTCTTAACTTCGTTACTTAATTTCAATAATTTCTGAAGTTTATCCAATTTTTTTATGGAATATTAACGGTCTGATGAGAACAAGGTAAAATTAATACATAATATATTTTCATATTTTAAGTTCAGGTTAATTTAAAATTTTTAAAAATTATATTTTTCATTGAGCTTATTTGCTTGCGTCATTTAGCTTATGTTTATTTAGGTTGGTGTCATTTGGTGAAGGATGATAAAATAGTTTGGGTAAGGAGAGAGTTAGATAAGTGAAGAGCGCCACCACCTCCTCCTCCTCCGGAGCCGCCGCCGCCGCCAAAAGATCCTCTACCATATCCTCTGCCAGCTCCTCAACTGCCATAGCCACCTCCATGTGCTCCCCCGGCTGAACCACCTCCTCCCGCACCTCCACGCCCACTTCCTCCCCCACCTCCATATCCTCCATTTTCTCCACCATATCCGCTACCAACCCACCTCCTCCATATCCACCGCCATGAGCTCCTCCTCCACCATAGCCTTCACCACCTCCTCTGCCAGTACCTCCTCCATATCCACCAGCCCCAGCACCGCCACCTCCACCATAGCCGCCGCTGCCACCTCCTCCATATCCACCCCCTGAACTCCTCCTCTTCCATGGCCTTCACCACCTCCCCTACCATCACCCCCACCATACCCACCACCTCCACCGCTGCCACCACCACCTCCTCCCCCATAGCCTCCACCGCCTCCTCTACCAGCACCTCCCCCACATCTCCAGCTCCCCACGCCCTCCTCCTCCTTCACCTCTTCCACCACCACCACCACCACCTCTTCCTCCAGGTCCATGTCCTACAACGCCTCCTTTACCTCCCCCGAAACCACCTCCATAGCCATCGTCGTAACCTCCGACTACCACACCACCATGATGCACAACATCAGCACTGAGGTCGAGATCCCCCTCAAGACCAAGGAGTGATCTCGCAGCAACAGAAACGCCCAAACCCAATAGCAGAAAGAAAGCAATGCTGATTAACTTACAAGCTGCCATGGGAAAATGTTGAACTCCCACAGCTGGTTTTATCAAAGAGGTTGCGGGTATGTGGGCATATATAGGGAATGGGATGCGTGTATTGCCCAAAAAAGTGAAAGTATTGCAGAAATTAAAAGAAAATTTTCAATAAGGTGCACTGAGAAGAAAACTTGTGGTTGCAACTTCAGGTATATATTGGTTTTTCAATTAAAAATGCAATGAAACTTTTTATAGTTACGCCCCATTTTGAAAATAAACACTAGGGCATAATTAGTTAAAAACCAAACCGTAATTTTACGGTATAGGAAATAAATATATAAAATAAGTTTTTTTTTTATTTGCATGGTTTTTTATTTTTTAACCAAACACCCCGAGATTGTCCACAATGCAGTTCGATATATGTAAGTGCATAACCTATAGTTCGATACTATTGGACGCACTTTTAAGCCTTTTGTATGGGGTAGACACTAGTGAGCTTTTGCTGCCGCCCGTTTTAGTTGATTTGCCGTTTACGGCATGCAACTTGAATTTCATGGCCTCCCTTCCTATTTATCTCTACCAACCCACCACCGACTCACTAGTGTCTACTTCACATCGGTTGCATCATTGCATGTTGGTTATTGTCTTCCATGATTCTTTCTTTTATTTTGTAGAATGAAAACACGAAATTCATATCTTCGTCCTTGTAGCTCGGACAAGAACATGCTGCTGTACTATGATTTGTGAATTTATTCGGCGGATGTCCCAAATTTATATTATCTCATAGATTTTCTTTTTCCCTTGGCCTGAATTTATATATCTCAGAGATTCAACATTTTGTTGCTTTGGAGCAGGCTCATTATAGAGGGCGTTGTGCTCTCTCCTCTCAACGTTCAACCATTATTTACAGCTTATATATGCATTACAGGACCAACTTTTTCTTTCTAAAAATATTTTTTGTTCTCCTATCACTAAATTAACAAGAAGTCTTTGTCATATTTTTTTTAAAAAAAAGCAATGTTTTTTTTTAACATTATATTATCCCCATTGACGATGTTTTGCTTTGATTTTGATTTGATATGGGATATTGTTTATATGTTTTTAACTTCAGTGGTTAAAATCATGGGCTTCTCCACATATGTCCCTTAACCAACCCGTATCATCTGAATGACCATTAGGTGGCCCCAAAAAAAACACTTTATTTTATTTTTAGTGATATATGATTTTGTTTGATTGTAAGTTATAAATATAAGTGCAATTAATAAACCCCTCTTGTCCATTAATCCTATTGCCAACAATATTCATATATCATTTGTCGAATGTATTCACACAAAAGTGACTCTATTATTGCTATTGCGAGCTACTGATTAAGATTGTCTGTTATCTTAGTTCCGCATTGCACAATTACTGAAACTGGTAATGTACGTTATCATCATCACTATATGGATATATATAGAGAGAGCATATGCAGCACTAATCTTGACAGCCTCTTGCTGGCACACATATTACACTTGAAAATAAAGCATAGACCGTTACTCAATGATCGTTACTTTCTTATTATATATATAGTTTGCTATATTAGCAGTACAAGCAAGAGGAGCTGTTCTTTCTGGACCCGATTGTTATCATCCAGTATCAGGGGTAATATCCACCGTGGCCACCTCCTTCACCACTTCCGCCGCCGCCTCCATATCCACCTCCATGAGCACCTCCACCACCATACCCGCCACCGCCGCCACCTCCAGAGCCGCCCCCGCCCCCGCCACCAGCAGCTCCTCCACCGGCTCCTCCTCCACTACCATACCCGCCCCCATGTCCTCCACCAGCTGCACCACCTCCTCCGCCACCTCCATTTCCTTCCCCACCTCCATATCCTCCTCCATTTTCTCCTCCATAGCCGCCACCAACTCCACCTCCTTTCCCACCTCCATAACCTCCACCGGCACCACCTGCAGAACCACCGCCTCCTCCTCCATACCCACCTCCTTGGGCTCCTCCTCTACCATAGCCCTCACCGCCACCTTTACCAGCACCTCCACCATATCCACCAGCTCCAGCACCGCCACCTCCTCCTCCTCCACTTCCACCGCCCCCACCTCCTCCTCCTCCAGGACCATATGCCGCCCCACCACCTTCACCTCCTCCGGCACCTCCTCCATAGCCACCCGCACCATGCTCTCCTACGCCTCCATCTCCTCCACCTCCACCGCCGCCATAACCCCTGACCAGCACACCACCATGATGCACAACATCTGCACCGAAGTTGAGATCCCCCTCAAGACCAAGGAGAGATCTCGCAGCAACGCAAATAGTCACACCCAATAACAGAAAGAAAGCAATACTGATAAGCTTAGAAGTTGCCATGGGAAAATGCTAAATTCCCACAACTATATGGTTTTAGCAAAAGAAGTTGTGTGTATATATAGGGAATGGGAGTGGGGATGAAGGGTCCTAAAGCGTGTATCGTGCAAAAAAGTGACAGCACAAGCTCATATAGGACCTACAAAAAAGAACATTCTCAATGACACTAAAGAATTTTTTTTTCCCCCCATAGAAACTTATATATTAGTGTTTGGGGGGAGGAGTAGTGAGCTTTGGCTGTCGCCCATTTGTTTATTTGATTGGCAAATGGTTCACACTTGGCGCCACTTGCCACTTTTGTAAGAGTTAATTAGCTAGCAGAGAAGTTCCGAATTGCACCACCAAATTATGAGCCCCTCTTGATTTAGGCTCCATGTCCAAATTGGACCACTTGGCTATGATACGTATATATCTCTCGAGCCTTTTCTTTTCAGAACACTGCATGCGTACAAATTTCTTGACTGGCTATTGAAGTTTGGGAATGAGCATAATTACATATATGGAGTGAATGAGCCATCATTAGAGGTCGGTTGTTTGAAACCAAAGAGTGTAATATTATACAACATCACAAACAAAAGAGGTTGATAGGATTTAGCTAATATAGTGTACAGCCGGAAAAGAAAAGGAAAACTGCTCATGTACGTAACATCTATTTCATCAGGCTATTCCACTGATCCAGCACACACGATTTTGTCTGTTTTAATTATGTGACAAAGTACTAATTTCTTTGTATTGAGGTAACTATATAAAATTGCCCCAATGATAGAGTGCTTTTGATGAGCTTCAACTTCTCTGGAAACATGCATTTCAAATACTCCTCCTCCGGTACTTAATATTAACCTAATTGGGAAGTCGATGTTGATCTTATATATAAGATTTATTTCACATGTTTATCAATTTTTTTCCAAATTAACCTTATTTATATTTTCTTGACAATGATCAAGTAGGAAAAGGAAGGAAAGAATTAAAAAAAATATCATATTAATTAATTTAACTAACATTCTTAGTAGACTCAAATTAGTTATTAGGTCTTATATTACGGAGAGGAGGAGTATATATGTAGTTTGCACTTTTCATAGCTTATGATTTGGTTGTGAAGCACAATATATATATATATATATATATATATATTTATATATAATCTGTACCGAATATGTGTGGCATGCGATAACTCGATCGCATTTCATGGCTTTCACGTATGAACTCGTAATAAACCTAAACTTGGTAATTATCTCTGGCTGCCAACTACCCACTACCGACCCTCTCATGTCTACTTCGCATTGGTTGCATGTGGGCTGTCTTCCATTCTTGCTTGTTTTCATTACTTTGTATCATGATGTTCGTTACTTCGGATTTGTAACTTGGACAGAACTATACATAATTTGTGAATTTATGGGGCTAATGTCCCATGAAATTTATATTATCTCATGGATCTTTTTTTCTTGGCCTGATTAATTTATGTCATAGATTCAATAAACTTGGTGAGGGAATATTGTTATTACAATTACTTACATATATTGCCAAGTGGGGATAAACAACGACTACAATAATTTAATGAACTAGAGTGTATTTTGCTTACTTTGTTTGAAAATTTGGGATGAGAGAATAAATTATTAGTAAAACGTTAGCAGAGAGAGTTACCAATAGTTCCTGAGCGAAAATTTCCAGAGGAAACAAGATTGAACGTTAACCCTTGTTATAACAACTGCCAAGAGTTTACTTATTTACTGCTGGGGTATCTGGAACTATTTGAAGGCAAACTCAAGGCCTTCGGATCATTTATAAATATTATTTAGTATTTCTATAATAATCAAACAAGTCAGTTAAACTTCAAAGGGAAAAAATAGTTTTTTTATTTTTGTTGACACGTCAAGAGAGTTTGAATCATGACTTTGCATACATCCTAGCTCACCCACATATATACCATCTAAAATCTGAATCAGTATTATCATGTGGCAAGAAACAACGTTTTATATTTAATATTCTATTAATATGAAATCAAACATCTAATTGAACTGATTACTACCTTCGATTCTAATTATAAAATCTTATTTATAGACTATAAACAATATCTTATAATTAGGACCAAAGGTAATAAATGTGAGGTGATTAAATATTTTTCTTATATTTCTCATGGAGGTCATTTTACTGTCTTTTTCTGACGTACGCAGCATCGTTCAAGTAGTAAGGATTTGAGTTGTGGGTGAAGTGCTAGCATTCAGTTGGCGGTAAGTATTGTTGAGCTCACAAATGTACAATAATAAACTGATTAATTAGTTGTGCTCTAGGCTTCAACTTTCAATCTCATTCATTATTAATACTACCTTTGTTACTTAATAAAAAAACTAGTTTGACATGCAATTTGGTCCTAAATACAAAATCTAATTTAATTTATCTCTCATATTTATCTTTTTTTTAAGATAGTCCTTTTAGTAGTTATACATGTTAAAATTTTGATTAAATGGTAGTTATAATTAATATATATGAGTAATAAGGATATTTTAGGAAAGACAATATTTATGTATTTCAAATAACTACCTCAACTAATTTTTTTAATATACTCAAATTAGTCAATTAGCTTTTATATCAACGTACGGAACTAGCTCTTATATTAATGACCGGAACTAGTACTTCCTAACAAATTTCCTAGTATGCTGCAACATGTCTGTGCCTGTGATTTTGTTCGATAACATATAAATATACAATATAATCCCCTCAATCTTGTCCATTTGTTCTGATGCGCGCCAATATTCGTCATTTGTGGAATCGAATTTATCCATTTCTGACATTGTAACTTAAATGAAGACTTTGTTCGTTGTCCGCGTGAACCATATATATATATATATATAGCACAATTACTGAAACCGGTAATGTAATCATCAATTACTATTATGTATATATAACAATCTTGAGACGGCCTTTTGACATGATCATACACTTGACGAAAACAAAGCACACTCATTACTTTATATCAGCATCCTCGTACCCATTTTCTTATTATAAATTTTTCATAGTACATATTTCTTATCATATCTAGTTATATTAATTAGCATGAGTATGAGGAGCTCTTCTGTTTGCGCCATTGTTGTAATCCAATCTCAGGGGTAATATCCACCGTGGCCACCTCCTTCGCCACTCCCACCACCAGCTCCATATCCACCTCCATGAGCACCTCCACCACCATACCCCCCACCACCGCCACCTCCAGATCCGCCTCCACCGCCACCAGCAGCTCCTCCGCCATATCCTCCACCACTGCCATAACCCCCTCCGTGTCCTCCACCAGCTGCACCTCCTCCTCCACCACCTCCACTTCCACCCCCACCTCCATATCCTCCTCCATGTTCCCCTCCATATCCGCCACCAGCTCCACCTCCTTCTCCACCTCCATAACCACCACCAGCAGCACCACCGCCTCCACCTCCACCACTACCACCTCCTCCTCCATAGCCACCCCCGTGAGCTCCTCCTCCACCATAGCCTTCACCGCCGCCTTTACCAGCACCCCCACCATATCCGCCAGCTCCAGCACCGCCACCACCTCCTCCTCCACTTCCACCACCAGCTCCTCCTCCTCCTCCAGGACCATATCCTGCACCGCCTCCTTCACCTCCTCCAGCGCCTCCTCCATAGCCACCTACACCATGCTCTCCTACGCCTCCGTATCCTCCGCCTCCGCCAGAGCCTCCACCACCACCATGACCTCCGACTACCACACCACCATGATGCACAACACCGGCACCCAAGTTGAGACCCGCCTCAAGATCAAGGCGTGATCTCGCAGCAGCACAAATGCCCAAACCCAATAGTATGAAGAAAGCAACACTGATAAGCTTAGAAGATGCCATGGGAAAATGGTGAAATCCCACAACCATGGTTTTAGCAAAGAAGTGGTGGGTATATATAGGGAACGGGACTCCATCATTAGAGTGGTCCTAAAGCGTGCACTGTGCAGAAAAAGTGACGGCACACCAGAACATATAGAAAAGCTACATTTTCATTCCCACTCAACAAAATAATACCATTTTCTCTTGTTGCATAATACCACTCAATTAAACATCTTGCTTTCATTTCTGCATATGCCCAAAAATCTTTTTTTCCCCCCTTTCCATACACATATATCTCTATTCCATTAACATAACCGACCTAAAACATTGTCCACTATATTGCATATACGAAGTACATGCATCTACAGTGGACACTGACGCACTAGTTAGTGAGCTTTTGCTGTCTCCCAATTGTTGATTTGATTTGACCTCATTTCTTTCTCGTCATGCTTATCGAAGAGCTGCTTCATTCATATTTCCTCTCTCACATAAAGCAATCGATACAGTTCACACTTAGCCCCCCTTCATTTCAGTTCTATATATCCTTTTGGACCACTTGGGAATTTGATGCATATATATATATATATATATATCTCAAGTTTTTTCCTACACATATCTTCACTGCTATGATTATCTTTCTCTCTCTCTCTCTCTCTATATATATATATATATATCATGCTATTGTCGAAATTAATTAGGGTTTAAGATCTTTGTTATAGATCGCGTGAATGAGCCCGATAAGTGTCGATGAGAAAGCCAACTTGTTTGAAACAAATGAAGAAATAGGTGGAGGATAAATATAGATAATAGCCAATAATACAAACAAAAGCAAGTGCTACAACAACTTAATGCCGAGCCCGAAAAGAAAAAAAGAAAACTGTAGAATGTGCAATCCTTTTCAGACTATTCCACTGATCCAGCACATGATTGTATAATATATTGCTCATTGTATATAATTATTAATATTTTGTTAACCAGAGTGATTATCATGTGACAAAACTCTAATGTCCGTGTAGTGGCAAATATAATTATAATTCGTCATCCTAGCAACTATTGAATTGCACCAATCATAGAGAGCTAATTGTGAGCTTCAACTGTTTATAATAGTGTACCACACTGAGCTTGAAATAAATATGCATATTGGCTACAGATGTGGACTCCTTTTACCTTGAAATCTTATGATTCAGTTATTGGGCACTATATTTTGAGGTGATTATAATCATGGCATGCTTGGCGAATTTATTCTTATTGTCACACGATGTAGATATTAATTCCCCCAATCTTTTATATATGTGTGATATATTTTTCATTACTTTAATTTTTGGTCCTATCCGTTGGAAGCTTGTATATTTATTTAACTAAACTTCCTTTATGTACAATTCATCTTCTCTATGAGCAAATTATTTCTAATGTTTTGTACAATCCATCATCCTAAGGACTATTTGCCAATTAATTTATTATTAATAGATTTATCCCTAATGTTCCCATCATACTATTGGTTACATCATATGATAATTTTTTTCATGAATCATTGCTATTTTTTATCATCAAAAGTTTAGATGAGATAGAACTCAAAGGTTCACTAAGATCCAGTCCCTGAGGATCAAGAAGTGTTTATAAAAATACTTATAAGTAAGATCCTTACATTAACGATAGGTGCAAGTCCACGTACACTCAAGGATGGAGGGATGTTGAATTAGGGGTTCATCGATAAATAATAATTAGTTTGGAGCAATTGTTCAAATCCCTCTAAAATTACTTTTTTAAAAAAAAGTCTGCTCACCCAAATAAAAAGTCTGGCGACATAGGAGTAATCATTCAGATTAAGCTCCAAAAACACTTTGCCCCTTGTACTAGCATGACTCAGTTAAAACAAACAATTAATATTCATTTAATTAATATTACTGTTATAAATGTGAGGATTTTTTTTTTTTCATCCACCAGATGCGAAGATTTTATCAGTGCGTATATAATCTTAAGACTTGAATACTTATATACGTTCTCTAGACCTTAAGACCTTATCACCGAAAAACAAACTTAAGACCTTTCATCATCCTGATGAGTTAAGTTTTTTTCCATCATGATATATAAAAAGTATTATACAAAAATGGACTAAAATTAAATGAGTTGTTTTCTTTTTAACAAGGCAGAGTTAGGTAGTGAGGAAAAGGGCATTGCCTAAGGCGGGGAGAGGAGAGAGGAGGGTAGTGGTTTCCAGTGGTATGATGGTGGATATTCTAAATTGGGCAGCGGCCCGCGTGAACTTGGGACCCACCCCCACATATCCTCCCACTGGGCCTTGCCTTTTCCGCCTTTTCTTCTCTGCCAAAATATTGTTTTAGAAACCAACGGAGGTTGGTCCAAGTGACAAGCGGTTTGGTCCCGCTTAAGTGATGTCTCGAGTTCAAGCCTTAACATATGCAGAAATCCTCGTTAGAAGACTCACCCATCATAACCAGGTACGCGACACAGGTCGGATTCAGATGTAGTCGGAGTAAAGCTCCGGTGAACTGGGTGGGCAACCAAAAAAAATTATTGTTTTAGAAGAGGTGTCCATATTTAGTACTTAATAATACCTTGAATAAGATTAATTCTAATAGAAAGATACATATACTTTAGCAAAAAAAAAAATATTGCTTTAGATTTTTCCTTCCCTATGTGGCTATGTTTGGTGCTAGAAAAAAAATTAATGAGCTCAATTTAAACAATCAGAGAAATAGAGTTTTAAAATTTTAATAAATAGAACATGTAAGACAAAAGAGTAATAAAAATTAATTAAAAACTTTGAATCATTATTTTTTAATTTTTTAAATTGAACTTGTTAAAATTTTTTTCTTCCCTCCGTTTTCTTCATACCCTAGGAGATTTCAACCCATTAATTTTTATTTAAAGTGTGTGTATTTATGAGCATGTATATGTATTAAGTTTAATTGTTTTATAATAATTATTTCATGGAGGGTCCTAATGTTATTTACCAGTAAACACCAAGGAGTAAGAAACTAATGTTATTTCTAAATATATTTTTGCGCTTGCAACTCGAGGAAACTGCGATAAACGACCTCAAGATACGCAAAACCGTTGAAAGTGAGGTTACTTTTCAGATAGGTAAGATATCTCAGATCTTTAGTATCAGGGGGCAGATTAGGAGTACAAGGAGAAGAGCAAGTTTGGGGAGTCAAGGAATTTGGGCAGTGGTTCTGGAAGATGATGGGCTGGTCCCAAGAGACAATAATAGGCCTGGGATGGGGGCCTTTATTGGGCTGGAGTCCTGGTTCGTCCCTCATCATCAACTTGCTTTCTCACATTTGGATGGGCCTTGAGAATGAAATGAACAATTTAACGGGAGATGTGGTTTAGATGGGTAATTAAGGATACTATAACCAGCATGAGTTAAATCTAACACAAGAGACTGGTCTCTCATAACGTGGAGAATCAAAGTTCGAATCCTGGTTGTAAAAGGTACCCACATTTAATGTCTGATAGTACCTCGAATAAGATTACCTCCAATAAGAGAATATTATGCTTTTAAAAGAAAAAAAAAATTAAGGATACTACAGTAACAGTAAGGGACAACATGGGGATGTTTGGGTAAGAACAAAACTATAGTTTTAGAAGTGCTTTTATGATATACGAAATAAATATGTGGAGGAGTTTGTCTCGATTTGCGGAAAAGTGTTTTTGAAAAGTGATTATGGGTGTTTCCAAACACCCCCTTAGTTTGATTTGGGCAGTGCTGGGTGGGAGGGGGCACCGACACAATCAAGTGAAAGGGAACAACAACAACATATGCAGAGAAAGAGAACTTTAAGCATAAAAGCAAAAGAACAGGAAGAGACGTGAAAAATGAAAGTGGCGCGGCAGTAGTAATAGAGGTTTGGTTCATTGCCTTAGAGTGGGCTAAGCCTGAGGGCATGAGCACGTAGCTTTTGTGTTTTGGGTACAACCTGCGACTATTCTGCCCGCCTTCTGTGCCTGCGCCTGCTTTCTTTTATTTTGTCCCAATTATAACTGTCTAGCTACTGTCTACTATAATCTGCTATTCTGCTTTGCTTTCGTGCCGGGGCCAAAAAATTTTTAAAAAAAATAAAAATTCTAGTTGACCATTTTGGTTTCCTAATTCTTATCAGCTTTAATCTCGTCATTTAATATTCCCTTCAAAATTTTCAGTTTTCTTCTTTAACTGGCTGAAATTAGCATTTCTACGAGCTTACCATTTCATCTTTTTTTTTTTTTTTTATCGCAAGAGCTGAAAGTTTATATTTTTTGAAATGAAAACATTCGCAGAATGATCACCCTCTATAATTTAATTATGATGAGACAATAAATTTATTAAAGCTGAGCCCATAAATAAATTAGGGATAATTAATCTGCAAGTCCTTATAGTTTCAACCAATTTTGAATCAGGTACCTATAATTTTTTTTCTTTTTATCAGATCCTTATACTTTCACCTGTTTTTAATTAGGTCCTTGCATTTATTTTTCTTTTTATCAAGTCCTTATAAGATCACCTTATTTTTAAGTAAGTCTCTGAATTTTTATTCTTTATTTTATAAATTCTAATAGTACTATTTTATAAACATAAAATAGTATATATTATGTAATATTAGTTTATAAACAATAATATTCTAAAAATAATGAATTATTATAATAATTTTATTTTTTTAGCAAAAAAAATTAATTGTTTTAAAAAAATTTCCTTAATTAATTAATTATATTACTTATCTTTTATTATATAATTATTAATATTTTATATTTCAGTACTAATTTATTTAATTAAGTTCATATTTAATTAATAAATAAAAATTAAAACTAGATGGACCTAATTAAAATTTTAGTGAAATTATAAGGACTTAATAAAAAGAAAAATAAATGCGAATACCTAATTAAAAATAGATGAAAGTATAAGGACCTGATAAAAAAAAAAAAACTATAAAGACCTAATTCAAAATTGGTTAAAACTATAAAGACTTCCAGATTAATTAACCCAATAAATTATCACGCAATCCAAACCACATACACGCAATGCCTAACAAACTAGCTCGG